GAATGTAACTCCTGTATCCCTAAATGTACCAATAAACTCAATAAAAAAAAAATAAAAAAATAAAAAATGTCAGTAATGGTAGAAAATGGAACATTATCACTTTTTATCTTGTGTAGGATTGTCAGGACTTGGTGAACTTTTTTCAAATAGCAGGCCAGGACAGTAAACATTTTAGGTTTTCCAGGTTACATAGGTTTCTGTTGTATATTCTTCTGTATTCTTCTTCGTTTTGCACGCGCGCACGTGCGTGTGTTTTGAGACAAGGTCTCACTGTGTAGTTGAGACTGACCTGGAACTCATTATGTTGCCCAGGCTGGTCTTGAACTCACAGTAATCCTCCTGCCTCAGCCTCCCAAGCACTGGGATTACAGGTGTGCACCACCATTCCTGGCCTTTTCTTCTTTTTTACGGTCTTTTAAGCATATGAAAATCATTTTAGTTCACATGCTTACAAAAAACAGAAGGCTGGATTGTAGGAGTTTGCTCATTCCTGCCTTAGGTAGTTACTGGTGGTAATGCATTGACCAAGGAATTGGTTTAGTGTGTGAAATTAAAAAGTCAACTTTTTTCACAGCCCAGAGTGAAGACATTTTACAGCTTATCATTTGAATTCACAAGTTATCTTTAGGTTCCTTTTGTAGTATAGCATTAAAGTATAGCAGGAAGCATTAAAGTCAGCTTCCTTTCAAAGAGTAAGTGGGAATCTGATTTATTTTTCTTCTCTTACGGAAAAGGTTATGTAGTTCTTTTCTACACAATTGTATGTTGATGGATAGGCAGCATAGCGTAGAATGTAGCCTCGTTGAATATTCAGGATAGATCTTGTACATAAAGACAGGTCTATCTACTGTGCTTTAAGATTTGGAGGTTGAGGAGTGATTTTCTCAAGCCCTGACCACCTTCACCTTGTAGGTGAAGTCCAAGCCTTCAATGCGTCTCACCTGTCACGCTGCAGTTCCCTGGTACACACAGGACTTGAGGTCCCAGCGAGTCTTCTCCATGGCAAAGTTCCCACTCCTTGACTCATGCTCTTTGAAATAATTTGAAAAAGTGTTAGTGTCCACTTTTATCGCTGTAGTTACCAGACTCTTGACTGTATCTGAAAATAAAACTTGAACGCCATCAAAATGTACAGTTGACTGTTACACATTCGAGGTCAGCTTTAAATAAGTAGCTTGAAGGCTTTTGAACAGTGACACTCTTCTTGAAGTAACTGTACAGTGTCCTAAAAGGATCATATTGAAGTAAACTACACATGTAATTTCTGTGTTTGAGTGGTAGAAACTACTGGAGAGTAATCTATTTTAAAACACCCAGGAGTGTTGGGAAGTCCTGTTGCTTATCAGAACGTGAGCTCCTCACAGTCTTGCTCATGCTGTACCCATTGTTCTGATGCCATGTGTGCCACGTAAGAGACATTCAGTAGAACATTTGGAGCACGAATTGAATGTATCACTTATCTAGCAGCAGTAACATTTCCTTTACATCGTACTGGGGTCACTTCTAATACCTGTACGAGCCTAGAAAGAGCAGAGGTGGTTTCTCTGAAATTTTTCTGTAAATAAGATTTTTGACTAAAACTGCCCTTCCAGTTAGTTTGCTGTAAATTTCTCCATGAATATATTCTTACTGTGCCATTTTTCTGGTTTTTCTAGCTATTCTGTTCGAATGTGTTCATACAGTTTACTCCATTTATCCCAAGGCAGAATTACTTGAGAAGGCTGCCAAATGCATTGGAAAATTTGTTCTGTCACCTAAAATAAATCTGAAATACTTAGGTAAGGCAGTGGGTCCTTTTGATGGAAATGGTAGAGAGAGCTTTTGAAATTTGTCGAGCACTTGTTTCAAGCCACTTCCTATGATGTGATCTTTGTTTCTAGGACTGAAAGCTCTTACCTATGTTGTCCAGCAGGACCCCAGCCTGGCTCTTCAGCACCAGATAACCATAATCGAGTGCTTAGACCATCCTGATCCAATGATTAAAAGAGAGGTAAACTGGTATTTTGAATGGTGTATGTGAAAAGTTAAAATTTGTAAACTTTTTGTTGGTATTTTGGAGAGAGATTAAATAGGTGGGCTGTGTGTGTATTTTAATTTTGCATATGTTTATTTTACTAAAGTTTAAGTAACTTTTCTGAAAAGTCCTTTCAGCGTCCACAGGAATGTCTAAATTTTGATTAGAGGTTACATGCAGTTATCTGTATGAGTCCATTAATTTTTTAGCCTGAACATTCTATCAATGGGTCCTCATGTTTAGACTTTCAAATTCATCCCCTCCCTCTCGTCCTTTCTTCTTTTTCTTTCTCTCTCTTTCTTCCTTTTTGTCCCCCCCCTTCCTCCCTCTCTTCCTTCTTTCCTTCTGGCAGGATCTTCCTATGTAGCTCAGGCTGGCCTTGAACTCACTGTGTAGCCTAGGCTGGCCTCAAACTCGAGATCCTTTTGCCTCAGCCTCCTAAATACTGGTATTACAGGCACAAATCACCAGGCCCAGCTGCAATTTACTTTTTGGCAACGATTTTACTTTCCTTTAACTCTTTTTAGTTATAATTTGCATTTCTTGATTCCTTATTAATAGACTTCCCAGTAGCTCTAAATACAAATAGAATAATCAGTTGTATAATAAACAAATACGTTATTGTAGTTTTTGGTGTTATAATTCATAGTTTCATAATGCTGTTTTTATTTCTCTTCTTCAAATAGACTCTGGAACTTCTTTACAGAATTACAAATTCACAGAATGTAACAGTTATTGTCCAGAAAATGCTTGAATATTTACATCAGAGCAAAGAAGAATATATCATTGTCAACTTAGTTGGCAAAATAGCTGAGCTGGCTGAGAAATATCCTTTGCTTGGACCATGTGTCACAAAATACCCTAGACTAGCCAGTGACTTTAAAATGACTGGTATAGGTGTTGCAAGTTGGGTTCAGAGACCCAGCGCTAACTTTCATTCTTGATTTTTAAGCCTTTAACTGTCCAGTATAGGAGTTTGTGTAGACTTCCTGGGGGATGGCTTTTTCCCCTCTGCTGTGTGTGTGTGTGTGTTTTCAGTGGTTAATAGGAAAACAGTGGAACCTCTACTTAGTTCCTCTTCCTTTCTGTTTGGGGGGTGGGGTGGAGTGGGGATTGAACCTAGGACCTCACACACACACACACAGCACACACTCTGCCACCAAGGCACCCCCACCCCCTGTTCCTCTTCACCTATGCAGGTTTCTATTGTGAATAAAAGTTCTTGTTTCGGGGGAAAGGAAGGAGTGAGGAACAGGGTCCTAAAATGCATCCTCTGTGACATTGTTTCTCCTGACAGTTGTCACAGTAAAGCAGTTGGGAACTCATTTTGAAATTTACTTTTCTTCACTTTTGCTTTGTTTTTGAAGGAACTGAGGAACTTACAGCTTACAAGGGTATTACATTGTTTTAAAGAGTCTGTTGTTTAATTTTAAGAAAGAATGAGTGGGTAATGTTATTCACAGAATCTTGGAAGTGGCTGAAGTTTGGTTTTGCCTTAGACAGCAAGCGCTGTAGCTGGCCTAGAAGAATGCCGACTCTTCAGCTACTGTGGAGCAGAATAGAAAAGAGGTTAATAACTTGCTCAGGTAGTAACTCTACAAGTGCTTAGGAGTTTTCCATGATTTATATTTTCCCAGCTGGCTCATTTCTTTCATTTATTTTGCATTTATGAATAGGATGCTTGCTATGGGTAAGCCTGGAGCTAGAGAAAGCGTTATAAGCTCAGTTTATAAAACACACTTACTGAACACCCATTTTACGTAAAACTGAGATGCAGAACATTTGATAACAGGTTAAAGATAGCAGTGCTGCTCTAGGATGGATTGGGTTATTTCTAAAAGGTCGCTGCAGAAAGGGTGATTTTAATAAGTGGCATTTGGAAGTGTGCTTGTTCTTAACACCGAGGACACATATGCTCCCGATAATGCATGGTTTATTCAGACAATGAACGCTGTGTTTTCAGTAGGGGGAGACGTAATGCACCCTGACATCCCTAGTAACTTCCTGAGACTGCTAGCAGAAGGTTGGTAATGAGTTTTAAGTGAAGTGTTCTTTATTGCAGAGTCCTTAGGGAATTTATGGAAATTAAAATGGTGTATCAATTGATTTGTAGGTTTTGATGATGAAATGGAAGAGCAGCAGTTAAGACTCTATGCAGTTCAGTCTTATCTCAATTTATTAGATATGGAAAATGTATTTTACCCACAGAAATTTCTTCAAGTTATGAGTTGGGTGAGTAAATTACATTACATCATACAGCTTTATAACTACTTTGTACAAAAACCGAGTATTACCATACTTCCTCCAGAAATCACTCAATTCTATTCAGGTAATTCTTCAGCTGTCTGTCTAATTCCCCTGTGTCACCCCCGTCTATCACTTGACCATTTGCTTGTCTGTTGTTTCTCTCTGCCAGCTCGTAAGTGGGTGCTTATCTGGTTCTCTTTATGTTTGCATTGTTTGTCATGTGTTTTATGTGAGTCCATGTCTGAATATGTGTGTTTCCGTATCTTTGCTGCATTAACTTTTTGTTGCTGCATAGCTGTGCTACCACAAACCTTGTGGCTTCAGATGACACAGTTTCTGTGAGTCAGGACTCTGGGCCTGCCTTAGCTGGGGTCTCTTGCTTCGGTCACCTAGGGCTGCTGTCTTCTCCGGAGCTTCCTTGGTGAAGGACGCACTTCCAGGCTGGGGCCACAGGTCACAGGTCACTGTGCGTGGCTCTAATTATCATATTGCTTAAGCATTGGTGTTACTTAGTCCTGTTGACTTTTCTCCCACTCTCCTTCTTACTGGCTGTAAATTTTCCTTTGCCTCTCTCTTTTCTTGCTGGTGCCAATATGGTTCCTACCCCTAATTATCACTTTGTAAATGACTCTTAGGCCAGTAGAATTGTGCGTCACCTGCATAAGGTAGACATGAGGAAAGGGGTGTGTAATACAGATCAGTGTTTCTCGCAGTCTGTTCTGTAGGCACCTGTATCATATTGGAGCCATTGGTGCTTGCCCAAAATGTACATCATCGGTCCCTGTGGCAGCCATCCTAACAGGATGTCAGAGGAAAGAGATGGGAATCTCTCTATGGGTTATTTTTCCCCTTTATTTCTGGTAATGTACTGGTGATTAAACCCAGGGCTCTCACACCCTGAGTCCTGGCTCCTCAGGAACTTGCTGAGTTACTAAGTTGCACAGGTGGGGCTTGAACTTGTGATCTTCTTGCCTCAGCCTCCAAAATTGCAGGGATTATAGGTGTGCACCACCAGGCATGGGTAGAAATCTGTTTTATGAAATACGACAGGTTGCTCTTATGCATCTAACCATGTGAGAACTGCTTATTTAAACTTTTGCTGGAAAGTAATAACAGAATGTGACAATGCTTATAAAAACCAATAATTTACTATGAAAGTTCAAAAGGGGTGGGTAGTGGTGCACTCAGGAGGCTGAGGCAGGAGGGTCGCCATGAGTTTGAGGCCAGTCTGGGCTACATAGTTCAGGGCCAGCCTGAACTACATAGCTAGAGCCTGTCTCAAAAAAGAGAAAGTTCAAAAGAAAACTAACTTCTAATGGTATTTTTACTTTATGTATTGTTAATGAAAGATATGTGGAAAATCTTTTTCTATTGATTTCCAGTTCTTTTGTATTGAACTATAATTCTTGGTATTGTTTTGAATCTAGAATTTTTTCTTTAATAATTTCTTCATTATGAGAGTATGTTTAATCTAGATGAATTTCGCTAAGTAACACTTGGGTTTCTGAGTGTAGTTTACTGTATGACTTGCTATCTATGTAATACTTTTTCTTTGTTGTATTCCTAGGTGTTGGGAGAGTATTCTTACCTCTTAGATAAAGAAAAGCCAGAGGAAGTTATAAGCAGGCTGTATAAGTTACTTAGGAATCAGTCCGTTTCTTCCGAAACGAAAGCCTGGTTGATTGCTGCAGTGACCAAGTTGACAGCTCGAGCACAGGCTTCTGATACAGTGGAGAGGTTAATCGAGGAATTTTCCGCGTCCTTGGATACATGTATGCGACAGCACGCATTCGAATTGAAGCATTTGCACGAGAATGTGGCAGTGATGAGGAGCTTGCTTCCCGTCAGTAAGAGCTGTGAAGACATGGTGGTAAGGCATGCGTGCCTTCTCTAAAAGCTGTGTTGTCTAAACACAGGAGGTGTCTTTTCATTTGTGGTATATAAGGAATATATCAGAATATCATTTGTGTGGCGCTTAAGGAGAATGTTACAGTTTTTCTCACACAAGTAGGAAACAAAATCTGAGAGCTTCTATTCAGTACTGATTCCAGTTGTCAGGAGCGGAGGAATATCTCTCTGGGGAACTGCAGTAGAGATATTTATATCCTACAATGATCTCTTTTTTGTTTTTGTTTTTGTTTTTGTTTTTTTGAGACAGGGTCTCACTATGTGGTTGAGACTGACCTGGAACTTGCTATGTAGCCCAGGCTGGTCTCAAACTCACAGCGATCCTCTTGCCTCAGCCTCATGAGTGCTGGGATTACAGGCATGCGCCGCCACGCCCGGCTTTTTTTTTGTGGTGGTGGGGGATCGAGCTCAGGTCCTTGGGCTTGCAAGGCAGGCTGTAGAACCACTGAGCTAAATCCCCAGCCCCTGATCTCTTTTAATATGTAATAATTTAGGAATTTATCACCTTTGAAATCCTTTCAGTCATACTCTTATTTCCTTTTTCTCCTTCCTTTCTGTTCTTTCATATTGGGAATTGAACCCAGAGTCTTTGCACTGAGCTGTATCCTCAGCCCTTTTTTAATTTTTAGTTTTGAACTGGTGTCTCAATTCCCAGACTGAACTCGAATTTATGATCCTCTGTCTCAGCCTCCAAAAGTGCTGGGGTTAAGATGTGAGCCACCACACGCTGCTCATACTCTTGTCTTTGAGAATACTAGAAACAGTGGTCCTCAACTACCTTGTGTCCATCGGCTATCTAAATTCTTTACTGCTTGGAATCTGATCCACTCACCTTTGGTTCTCCTGCCTACTTTGAGCAGCCACACCTTTTAACCTAGAGTTGTTAGTTACCCCTCCCTCTTAATTCATTCCAGTCTTTCCCTCCGATTGGTGTAAATTAGAAAACTTCGAAAAGTGAAACAAATTTGTTCACATTTTTATGTTAGACCGCTTACGTTTGGGAAAGAGAAGAGGGTGCATGATATTCCCACCAATGTCTACTCAGGTTCTCGTGTTTGTATTCGTTTTGAACACTTGCTCTTTACTTGTTTTGGCCACTCTTGAAGGTGGAGGCCTTGCTTTAGCGTTTAGTAGGCCTTCTAAATGTGCTCATTGAAGTGGTGTCTGTGCTGTACGAGGTGTTACTCCAGCATGTTAGTACTAGTTTCTACACTTCCCTTTCCCCCAGTAAAATTAGCGATGATCATGTAACCTCATCTCTTCAGCGTTGTATTGAAGCTGACTCTTTCCATATTCAGGGTGTGGGGTGCCACTCTATTTTTGGGAATTACATGCTGCTATAAATTATCTGAGCAGTTTGGACTTCTGGCCAAATTGGGAAAGCGAAGCTCTGGTTACTGAGATCCTCTCCGCTCTCTCCTTTTTTGAATGCATCGTTTTATCTCCTTGCCTTTTCTCCTTTTTCCTTCACTTTTTGTTCTTCTTTATCATTTCATTTAGAAAAGTACCTCTTGTACCTTTCTACTCTTGCAGAAATTAATTTTTCTCCAACTTGTAAAAAAACATTTTTAGATGGAAAGGAATAGGATAGTTAAGGCACTGTGGGAAACCAAGTAAAGGCTTCTCCAAGATGTCCCGTTCTTAATCCCTGGAGATTGCACATGTGTCACCCTAAGTGTTACAGTGTTGTAGATGTGATAATGTTACATATTTTGTGGCCAGGAGGTTATCCCGGGTTGTCTAGGTAGTCGTGTAAGCAAAGGTAGGCCATAAGCCTACCTGTGTGATGGGGCCGCAAGCCAAGCAACACAGGTGAGCTCTGGAAACCAGAGGATACAGGAATGGGTGCTCCCTTGAGCGCAGAAGGTACCAGCGCTGCCTGTGCCTGATTTTAGCCCTCGGCAGCAGAGGAGCAATGCAGTCACCCTGGTCCCCGGTGTGTACGCCTGCTGTCCTGGGAGGTTGACCCCTGCTGGGATGCCCCAGCATATTAGGTGTCACAGATACATTGCGCTGTTAAGCGAAGTTGTGCTCACTGCAGATGATGTATCTTGGTTGGTTCTTAGCTGGATGATCTGATTATCGGTGTTGCAGAAAGCTAGAGTTGGGTAGCATTTTTTAGAATTGAGACTTCTGCTTTTACTTTAGAATTTTGCTTAAGGGTGTATGGGCTAAAATTATTTACATGAATATAGTCTGCTGCTTAGAGTGAATTTTTGAATTCCTAATTTTTACTTAATTTTAATATAGGTAGATGCTTCCTTATCTTTTCTGGATGGTTATGTGGCTGAAGGACTCAGCCAGGGGGCAGCACCCTACAAACCTCACCACCAACGCCAGGAGGAAAAGCTTTCTCAGGAAAAAGGTATTTTTCATGGGCCTATAATAAGCTAGATTATAAGGGCATATTTTTATGCAGTTGATAGTGCAGTCATGTAAGTAAATGACTAAGGATATTTATATTTTATTATCCCATTTTAAAACTGCTTGTGATTTACTTACCCTGGCTAGCTTTTCAGATACTGAGAAACTAAAAAATGAGCTTTGAAGTCTACCCAAAGCCAAGGTCTGCACGTAAATAAATGCCTGAGATATGAGCACCTTCCTGGAGGTTTGACAGAACCGGAAGGGGAAGTGGTGCTGGTCCTTGTGCTGGGACCCGGCACGCAGGAGTGTGAGCTCACCAGGAGAAGTTTCCAGAAAAAAAAACCTACTGTGGACTAATGAGTTCCATTCTCATTCTGAGCACTCTTAAGTAAGGGTATGAGGAAACTTCCAAAAAAATACCATGAGTAAAGTTAGGAAGAGCTAAGAAAGGAAAGTGTAACTTTATACCTGTCAGGGAAAAACTTGTGTCATGGTTTTGGGAAAGACACAGTCATTAAGTTACTTGGATGGTGCATAGAAACGTACATTAGAATGAAGGGAAAGTAGTGAAAAGTATGTTTTGGAGTTCAAAATGTCAGTTCTGAAAGTTTAGATACTGAAAGTTCTTTTTAAAATTTATTCATCATTCATTGTTTTTTTGAGTAGGTATTATTTTCTAGGGTTGTGCTGGGGTTATTTAGTTATAGTTAAATAGTCGATTCTAAAATGAGAACAAGAAGATAAACCCTGTTAATAGGCTTGATATTATCTTTTTGCAGAAGTATTTGCTCTTTTGTTTTTTTGGTTTTTTTTTTTTTGGTATCAGGGATCAAACTCAAGTCCTTGTGCTTGAGAGGCAGGTGGAGGAACCAGTATTTGCTCTTTTGACTTCTACATTAAATACATTTTTAAAAATTTTCTTTTGGTGAGAACACAGCATGAGAGCTACCCTAACACATTTTTAGGTATATAGGACTTTATCATTGCTTTATGCGCACCGTGTTACACAGCCTGTATCAGTCAGCTTTCCTTTCACTGGGACCAAACATCCAATACCCACAACTTAAAGGAAGGGAGGTTTAATTTGGTTCATGGTTTGGGACTTTCAGTCCATGCATGGCTGACTCCAAAAAGAATCAGGATGACAGACGGGTCTGGTGGAGGAGAGCTGCTCACTTCATGGCAGCCAGGAAGCAGAGAGGAAGGGGAGGAGCCGGGGAGGGAGATGCACCACCCACAGGCTCTCCGCCCCTTGCCTCTTCCAACCAGGCCGCACAGTGGATCACTCCACCGACCAGTACAGCACCCTGAGACCCGGTCACCTTCTGTGAACAGGAGACTTTTGGGGGGCATTCTAGATTCAAACCATAATGGTCTCCCACAGTTCCACTCTTCAGATCTGTGGATTTAACTATCTTAGAACTTTTTTTGGTACTGGCGATCAAACTCAGGACATTGTGCTATGCCTAGATACTCTGAGTGGGATCATTCCATATCTGTCTTTCTGTGACTGGCTTATTTCACGTAGCATACTACCCTTAGGTTTCATCCATGTCATCACGTATTGCAGAATTTCTCTCTTTTTCAGCTGAATAGTATTTCTTTATATGTAAAAACACATTTTCTTTACCATTCCTCGTTGATGGATATTTTGTGTGTGTATCTGGGCAGCTGGCCATTGTGGGTAGTGCAGCAATGAACCTGGAAATACTGATACTTCTCCAGAGCTTGCTCTCGGTGCTTTTGGATAAATACCTGGAGGTAGGATTGCTGGGCCGTACCAGAGTTCTGTTTTCAGTTTTTCTGAAGAATCTGCCTGCTGTTTTGCATAGTGACTGGTCCATTTTGCATTCCCACCAACCATGTGCACAGGTTCGTTTCTCCACATTCTTGCCAACATTTGCCTTTTTTTTAAGTAACGGCCATTCTGACAGGTATGAGGTAATGTCACTGTGGTTTTGATTAGCATTTCCCTCTTTTTTCTTTCTTGGTACCGGTGTCAAAACTCAGGACCTTGCGCTTGCGAGGCAGGCAGCAGAACCACTGAGCTCATTTCCCTCATTGTTAATTACATTGAGCATATTTTCATATGCTTATTGGCCATTTTGTATGTCTTCTTTGGAGCAAAGTTTATTCAGGTTATTAGCTTATTTTTAAATCAAGTTATCAATTTTCTTCTTGGTGTAGAATCATCAGAACTCCTTACATATTTTTGCAGATTAAATCCTCATTGGATCATGGCTTGTAAGTATTGTCTGTCATTCTGTAGGTTGCTTTTTCATGGTTTTGTTTCCTTTGCTCTGCAGCTTTTTAATCTGATGTCTGTCTTGTTTTTGTTGCCTATGCTTTTGATGCTATCTGTGAAATCTCATGGGGCAGGAAGAGAAAAGGCATCCAAACTAGAATGGAAAAAGTAAAATTGTTGCTCTTTATGGACAACATGATTTTATGTGTGGAAAACCCTAAAGAATCTCTGAAGAAACTCATAGACCTAATAAATTCAGTGAAGTTGGAGGCTTTAAAATCAACATAGAAATCAGTTGCATTTCTGTCTACTGACCAGTTATTCACAAGGAAATTAGGAAAACAGCTGCATTTACAATACTACTAAAAATAATATACCTAAGGGTGAACTTAAGAAGATGAATAACACTGTAAAACACTGATGAAAGAAATCAAACCAAATGGATGGGAAGCCTCATGTTGTCAGCATGTCTTTACTACTCAGTGATATACAGATTCAAAGAATCTGTCTTTTATGACTTTTAATATATTATGTAATGGTACCTAATAGCCTAGAAAATTCAGTCTCTGCCCCATTAATTCTCTGTATACCGATAGACTATTTGGGGGAAAAGATGAAGTTTTAAATTGGAATTGCCTGGTCCATAGCTTCTCCTCGTAAAGGTCTGGGCATCCCGGGCACCCATGAAGCCCTGCTGGAGCCCAGGAGGAGACGGGTTCTGGGTCCAGTGGAGCCTGGGCCCAGGGGTTCCGTTTCCTCACTTTCAAAGGTCTGGAGGCCCTCAGTTGCTGTTACTGAAGCCAGGGTGGGACAGGAAGGGGAGGTGGGATGGAGAGCCTGATTCATCACTGCCTGTTTTCTTTCTTGAAATAAGTTAATGCCTAATGCAAATATAGTAGATAGCCCTGAATTCTCCAAGCTGATGCAGTCTTTGCCAAGTATATTTTTTCCGTAGAATTATAAATGAGAGTAAGCTTTTAAATCAGCCTTTTCTTCTTGCTCCCCAAATCTACTTTTTAAAAGTTCTTTAAAACAAAATTAAAATTGCATGAGCTTTGATTGTCACAGAACAGGAATTTGGGTATGAGGCAACACAGTGTTTAATAAATACTTGTGGAATAAATTATAGAATTATATATCTTACACTTATGTCTGGCCATAAGACAGAAAAAAAGAATAGGATAAAATAGGTAAAATAGGTATTTTTTCATAAAGAGTTGTTAAATCCTGGAATCCAAATGTCAGTACTGATACTACTTTGGAAACTTTTATAAATCATTTGTAGAGAGAACTAGTTAAATGAAACTTTAATGCGTGACACTCAACTCTCTTGGGTAGAAAAATGTTTGGTTTGTAAGAAAAAACTCCAGGAAAATATGATTTCAAGAGTTGGCAATAATAAAGGGGAACAAACTTTACTACCAGTTTCCACCTAAGAAAAGTATTTAGGAGTCAGTGTTGATTATAGAAAGTTGATTATTCAAAAGTCTTATAGCTCCAGTGTAGAATAACACCAGTAATAGTATGGGCAAACAGTATAATTTTTTTCTCTGTTGAACTATAGCTTTTAGAAAACCACATCTAGTTGAGGTTGTTTTTCAGAAAAGAAAATTCAATTGTGAGATGGTGGTACACACTTTTAATCCCAGTACTCTGGGAGGCTAGGCGGGACAATCACCAATTCAAGCCCAGCCCAGGCAGCTGAGTGATTTAGCAAGACCCTGTCTCAGACTTAAAAAAAAAAAAAAGGCTGGGGTAGCTCAGTGCAAAGGCCTCAGGTTCAATTCCCAGTACTAAAAAAAATAAATAAAACATAGTAAAAGAAAATAATTAAATAATTTAAGTAACTTAAATAGCAGTCAATAATGATCAGAGATGTACAGCCAAATGCAAGGTATAAAAGAATTGCAAAATGGCCAGGCGTGGTGGTACACCCCTGTAATCCTAATACTTGGGAGGCTGAGGCAGGAGGATCACTGCAAGTTTGAGACCAGCCTGGGCTATACAGTTGAGTTCCAGAGTAGTCTGAACTACATAATGAGACTCTGTCTCAAAAGACCAAAAAAAAAAAAATTGCCAATTAAATGAAATAAAGGAGTGTGCATAGGAGCCCTGGAGTAACGAAGGGTACAGACAGGTTCGTGTTGGTTGCCTGTGCCCACTACCTCAGATGTGTGCAGTGCTCCGGTAACTCCAGCCTTGCTCAGGGCGGGCTTGCTCCCAGCCCAGTTCACACATTCTCTTCTGTGAGGGCTCATTGGCCCGGTGTCCCGCCTGGCTCACTTGGCTCACTTCTGCGTGTGCAGCAGCCGTTCCTCTCTCCCTCTTCCTGCAGTCTGCTCTTCTGCTCCCTGCATGCACAGAGGTAACTCCTCAGTCTTTAGTCCTTTCAGTCATTCATCACTGCAGGGATCTCAGGGGCAGTTTTCACCAAAAATTGAAAGTTATTTGATTTGGATTTAACTCTCAACCTGAGCCTTTCCAGGCCCTCCTTAGATGACGTCTTTAATCCTTCTGTCCCAGTATGGAAATTTCATCTCTGCTCCCTAGATTCTTTCCATATGTAGTTTTTTTCTTTCCACATTCAGATTCTCTACCTCTAATTTTGAATTTTCCTGCTCTTTGCTTTAAACTCTGTTCGTAATAGTGCACAAGAAACACTTCTTGAGCGAGACACTGCTGCTTAAGTGTTAAGGCAGAGGCTGCATGGCCGTCATAAAGGCTGTTAAAAAAGAGGCCATTGGAAAGCATAGAAGAGGATATTCTTGCGGAGAAAGACCTTAGACAGATTTAGACAGGTTGTTCCCACACATGATTGTAGATCAGAATCACGCAGATGATTCTGTTTTTTGTTTTTGTTTTTTTTAATGAGGCAGATTTTTGAGCCCCACTCTTACCTTCTTTACCCGAATCTCCGAAAGCTTGAGTCTATGTATAAAAGATTATTGGAGGACTCTGTCAAGTCTGCTTGATCCTGTTTATCAGCATCTGGAAAACTTTCTTTGGTCCTAATTCTTCACTTTGTGGAAGAAGGAATTAAATTCTTATTTTCAAACCTAATGAACATTAGACTTACATTGGGAATTCAGTTCTCCTGATACTTAGCTCCTGCATTTCCTCCTGAACACGGCTTTCCCTTCCACATCATTGATGTAGCTATAGGCAGTTCCTCAGTGCCCCGTGGACAAGGCGCTGTTTCCTCCTCAGGAGGCTGTGTGGACCCCACTGTTGGGACGATGCTGGAGCTGGCGCCTGGGTGGCTCTGGCACTGTCTTTTCCCGTGTTTGTCATCCGGGGTAGGTTCATGGTGAACTGCCATAGTCTCATGTATAAAATATGGATAATAATTTCAGAGATTGACATATTTTCCAAGACACTCTTTATGACTTAGGAAGGCTCTTTTTACTATAATCTAGAGTCCCAAGAGGTAAACTTGCCAGTGGGGATTAGGTTTAGCTAATTAGAATGTTAAAAAGCATCAACAGCTCCAGGCCTTATACCAGTAGAGTTTCTGCTCTTGGAGCAGAGCAGCGGGAAGCCCAGGTCTGGTGACGATGATGAACCCAGACTCCCCCCTCACAGCTCAGGCATCTTGGCTCTTGTACTGTAGTCCCACATGTCTGCTGCTCCTGCTCAGTGGCACTGTAGCCCACGGGAAAGGTACATGTGGAGAAGAGGTTGTGTTCTCTCAGGAAGGCTCCTCCTAAAGTTGCACACAAGATGTCCAGAACTCCAATTATCTGCAAAGAAGTCTGGAAATGTCCCCTTTCTGGCTGGCCTTGTACCTAGCCAACAAGTGAAGGTTCTGCCAGGCCTTTTGGTGCACAGCTGTAATCGCAGCAATCTGGGAGGATGAGGCAGGAGGATTGGAAGTTTGAGACCAATCCAGGCAACTTTATGACTTAGCAAGATTGTTACTAAAAATAGAAATTAAACAGTACTGGGGATGTAGCTCCATGTGAAGGCCCTGCGTTCAATCCTTTGTACCTTCCAAAAACAATAAAGAGGAAGGTTCTAGTCCTTGGAAAATGAGAATGCATTTTGGCATCTGCTCTGCCATAATAATTGCATTTTCATGGCTGATTGAATCCATTTAGATTACACAGGTTTAAAAGGATCAGAGCCCAAGTAAGCCTTGTTCTGTCCAGGGAAGGGAGATTTCACACTGAAGGCTCCTTCAGATTACTTGGTGCAGGAATATGCTTAAGCATTATCTTGTTAAGCAGAACATAGTTATCCATTTATTTACATCTATATATAGTTTATTAGCATATTTTTGTAAGAGTGCAGCTACTTTTCAGCAGGCCTAGTTTATCAGTTATCTTTTTCACTTAAAAAAAATTTTTTTTTTTTTGGTTTTTTGAGACAGGGTCTCACTATGTAGTTGAGACTGACCTGGAACTCACTATGTAGCCCAGGCGGGTCTCGAACTCACAGCGATCCTCCTGCCTCAACCTCCTGAGTACTGGGATTACAGGCATGTGCGTCATCACATCTGGCTAAATTCTAAGGGAAATAAAGAGATGGGAATGAGGGACACTTTGTCACTTGTCACCTCACATGTGAAGATGGTATGTGTTTGATAGAGTGTAGCCATTTATTGTTATGTAAAGATCATTGCCATAAACATTGTAATAAGTTTTATTACCAAGGCCCCTTACAGTTTAAGGATTATCAGTGGGTCCCGGTCTTCAGTTATTTCAGTAGTGAATGGACTGGTAAGTCTTGCTTTTTTGCTTTGTTTTAAATATGAACCTCTGTTCTTGTCTTGAAATTCTAGTTCTCAACTTTGAGCCATATGGACTGTCCTTCTCTTCATCTGGTTTCACTGGACGGCAGTCTCCGGCTGGCATTTCTCTCGGTTCAGATGTATCTGGGAATAGTGCTGAGACAGGGCTGAAAGAGTAAGTTCCTTTCTTCTCAAAACCGATAACGTGGGAGTGTTTCCGTGTCTTAGCATTGTATTGCTTTCTTCCCCTTGAGTTGAGTTAGCAGCTGGGTCTGCTGTTAGGAGGTGGGGTCCTATCAGGCGGGCCTCTGGCGTGTGACCTAGCGGGGTGTGTCCTCACCCCCAGCTTCTCCCTTTTTCCTCTTACTCCCGGCTTTCTGGCTGCCGTGGGCTAAGCCTTCCTCCGCCCTGCCCTTGCACTGTGCTGTTTCTGCTTCGGAGTCAGCCCACAGTGGAAGTGGAAACTTCCCACTGGAAACCGTGAGCCAAGCAAAGCTCTCCTCCTTTACCTTGTGGATGTTGAGTATTTTGTCCTAGCAGTGGGACAGGTGACTAATACACATTGCCATTCATTTCCAAACTCCTTTTCCAACCAGTGCCAAAGACTTCTGAATCGCACATCAGGAGTAGTCACAGGAATCACCCTGCTTGTCCAGGCCTCCTTTGCTCCGTCGGTCAGCTTTCCCAGTGCTGGCACAGATGCCTGACCCCGGCACCCAGAGGAGGACAGCTTCTTTTGGGCCCTTGCTTTTTTTTTTTGAGACAGGGTCTCACTATGGAGTTGAGACTGACCTGGAACTCACTGTGTAGCCCAAGCTGGTCTCGAACTCACAGCGATCCTCCTGCCTCAGCCTCCCAAGTGCTGGGATCACAGGCGTGCGCCACCACTCCTGGCTTGTGCCCTTGCTTTTGAAAGTGTCAGCCCTTGGTCGGAGGTTCTGAGGCAGAAAGAGTATGGCAGAAGGGCTGGCTGAGGAAAGCCTCCAACTCACAGCAGTCAGGAAGCAGAGGTCAGGGGTGGGGCTGGGGGCCAGGGACCAGGTGGAGGATCTGGCGTCTTGCCCTCGTGACTCACGGAACACAGATGTGTGCTTTGCTAATCGGAGGCCTCTCCCAAGCCAGTCAGGAGACAGTCAAGGCAAACCATTTTAAGTAATAATTGTAACATCATTGTCATTATGCAAAGTCTGCATGTACCAAGTGAAATTAGTGATTGTTCTGATAAGATAATAAAAGTGATGAAAAGGGCTTGTTCCTTATAAGTAAGCTCCATCTAAAAGTTCAAGATGTTTTATGTAACAGCAGCATCACTAATTGTGATAAAACCTCAAAGGTGACCACTTTGAAGGATGACTTTTAAGTTTTCGCATTCATTAAGAAGTCAGTCACCTTATTTTCATTATTGTATTTGTCCAGTAAGGTGGTTATAAGAAATATTTATCAGAGGGTTGGGGATTCAGCTCAGTGGTGCCGCCCCCTGCCTCAGAAGTGTAAGGTCCCTAGTTCAATCCCCCATACAAAAACAAAACAAAACAGAACAAAACATGCCGTATTGCTGAAGAAATACTTGTGAGAAGAATGGCGTAAATAGATTATGAGAATGTAAAATGGTAACGTATTAAATGCTCGGGTTAAAATTCTCCTCCTTACCCTGTTTTTCCCTGCTCTATCTACATCCGTATTTTCTTTGCCAGACATTTAATTTCCGTGCTCTCAGCGTGGGAGCAGATGAGGTTTGTGAGTTTGTGATGGTGAAGATGACAGCAGTTAAGTTCCCAAACAGGGAACAAAGGTGCAGGGGAAGGAGAGACAGGAACCTTCCAAACCTAGGGAAGAGCTGACACAGTATTTTAAAGAGATAGCATAGAAGTCTTCTTAGTCCATGTCGCAGTGCATCATGGTTACGTTCATAGAGGCCTTGGTTCGCGTGCACAGCAGGTCCTACTCTCTTTCTCATCGTGCTGTCGCTTCCCATGGGCTCACCTGTACAGCAGGTGAGAGCACCTGCCTTTGACGGGAGCTGCGTGTGGGGATGGGGTGGGGCCTCGCGTCCTCGCTGACGTGTCCTGTCCTCGGAGGACAGGTGCTGGGCACACGTGCTCTTTCAATGTGAAGCGGGACTTGAGGGATGAACTTAACATTTCAGAGGGCCACACTTCACACGTTACTTCAGATTAGGGGCCGGCTGGACATTGGCAGGTGAATCCACATTTAAGGGAGTCTGGCAAGAGGAGGGGAGATTAGTGGCAAGCCCAGCTTTACGTGTCTTTTGTACAGAAGCTCTTCCTGTATGGCACCCGCCTCAGGTGGGACTCCTAGAACCGAGCTGAAGAACATCCCTAATCTGCCCAAGTTACCAGGTCAGAATTTGTGTCTGTTTGAGTGGTCTGTTAAAAACAATACATGTATTTCATAACAGTCTTGCCAGAGTCTGGGCAAATATGACTCCTATTTTTAAAATGCTCTTTTACAAAGTGTGTCTTTCAGAGGCATACTTTGTTCGAAACGGCCTTATGTTGTTCTTCAGGTATTTCCTCGATTTTTGGACTGTCTGTATGTAATGTGTGATAGGGAATTTATTTTGATAAAAAGTATATGCAGTGAAATCATAGGGAGAAATCTTTAAAATAGCTCAGGCTCCTTTTGTCCTCCTCTCCTGTCTGCCTGCTGATGGTGGCGTTTCGTATACGGAGTAGGAAGGCCAAGGTGAGCCCTCAGGACCACAGCTGGGGAAGGAGGGGACGTGGCAGGGTGGGCGGAAGGAGAGGCGGCGGTGCCGTGTGACCAGCAGCCTCTGCTGACCCAGGGGTTGTCCTGAGTTGGACCGGGACCAGCCGCTACAGAGAGCTCTGTTGTTGTGCGCTTGGTCGCTGGATGCGGCTGCCCTGAGGGCTCCGGCCTGGTCTTGGCGAGGCAGCCCCCTTGCAGGCCGCAGCTGCTGGGTGTCCTTCCTGGGAGCGGCCCGGGGTCCACACCCCCCAAAGCCGTGTCCACCCACTTATCAGGCAGGTTTGGGACTTGCTCTTGTTTTCCTCGTGACAATTGAGTGATTTTGGTTGAAGGAGCACAGAAGTGCCGTCACCCAGCCGTGGGTACCCATGAGCCTTCGAGTTCGCTGCTCCTTCTAGGGGTCCTGTGACCCTTGGGTCTGCTTATTAAGTTCATTACACAATTGTATTTTCCTTCGGAAACATTTTAGAAGACTTTTTGGTTCCTGAAAGAAAGGGGGAAATGAAGATACTCAAAAAGAATTACTCTTCCGTAAAAATCCGGGGGAGGAATGAGCCAGTTCCCCGCAGGCCCTCCCTTATTACATTCGAATTTTCCATCAGCCACTGACTACTTAACAGTTACTTTCTCAGTCTGAAGTCAAACTACCTGTTTGATCTCAGGAAAAGCATCAAATTCATCATGATTCTGACAAGTTAGACAGGAGTAATAAGTACAAACCATTTTTGCATTTACCCTGTTTAGTAGGGTGGGGTGTGTGTTCCTGGGCATTGAACTCAGAGCCTTGCATGTACTAGGCAAAGGCTGTACTGCTGCTTTACATCTCCGGCCCTTCTTGTTTTGAGACAGGATCTTGCTAAGTTGCTCAGGGTAGTCGGAGACTTGTGATCCTCCTGCCTCAGCCTTCAGAGTAGTGGAATTACAGGTTTGTGTGCCATCATGCCCAGTTTGCAGTATAAATTTTAAAAGTGCTATTTTGAACTTTGATGGGAATGTTTAAATGAGCCAATTGCAAAGGGCACAGTTTTACATATTTGTTTTTTGGTAGCTTTTCTTCCATGCTCCCCTGTCTGATCAAGATATGATTGGCAAATAAAACATTTATTTTTATATTTGTGGTATACAATGTGATGTTTTGTTATGTGTTTTACATTGAAATGATTACCAGAGTTGATCTAAATGTAGTTTTTTCTATGATGACACTGAGACCGACTTGGGCTGTTTCACCCGTTGCTTGTGACTGTGTTAGCAACTCTGTGGTCACAGCTGTTGACGCTCAAGATGACATTAGGCGAGTCCATATTCTGGATTTGGTCCTGGAGTTTTCCCCGAAGTGCCTTGTCTTGGCTTGGGGGCTGGGCACCCAGCTCTTAATCAGTGGTTCAGCTCCTTGCAACTTAGTTACAAAACAGTTCTAAGCCTCCTGCATGTCCCTGAAATCTTTTCCTTTCCTTCCTTTCTTTTACAAAACAGTTCTAAGCCTCCTGCATGTCCCTGAAATCTTTTCCTTTCCTTCCTTTCTTTTACAAAACAGTTCTAAGCCTCCTGCATGTCCCTGAAATCTTTTCCTTCCCTTCCTTGTTTCTTTTCTTCCTTCTCTCTCTCTCCGCCCCTCTCCCGTTTTTCTCCGCTCCTCCCTCCTCTCCTCCCTCCTCCAGTCCTATTAGTAAGAGAGAATACTGAGATCCATGTAGGTATGATATTGTATATGCGTATAACGTGTTTTGATTATTTTCATCTCATTTATCCCCTCCCTCTCCCTTTCTTCCCTCATCCACAACCTCCTGCCCCATCTCTAAAAGTTACCTTCTAGTTTGCTCTTGTTCCTCCTTTTTTTATTTATTTAGATTGCTCCTATAAAACATGCAGTACTTGGCTTTTTGAGACTGGCTTATTTCATTTAACCTGATGGTTCCTATTCCATCTCCATCAAAATTTTTTTTCTTTTCCAGACCAAGCCTCCTTTCATGTTTATTAAAGTACATTTATAATAGTTGAAAACATCGTGTTCACATTAAGAAAACCTTTTAGATTAAATGTAAATTTATACATAGGAGTATATTTCAATGATTTATTTTGCTTTAAACAGGATTATATTTAGTGAATTTATGTTTATAAATTAATATTTAATGAATTTAGGGTTTTTCTTTGTTTTGTTTTACAGTACTGGGGATTGAACCCCAGGGCCTTTGCACTAGATTACATCCTCAGGCCTTTAAAGTTTTTAAAAAATTTTGAGTCATGATCCCACTATGTTGCTAAGTTGCCCAGGCTGGGCTTGAAATTGCATTCCTTCTGCCTCAGCTTCCCAGAGTGCTGGGATTACAGGCATGCACCACCATGCTCTGCTATGAATTTAGGTTTAATTCTTTTATGTTGCTAAGAACTCCAGTCATTTCTGATCTTTATCAGAATTAAAGATCAGGTATTTTTTTTTAAAAATCAGTGGATGAAAGTCACTGATTTATAGTACTCTTTTTGTACAGCTTTTTCAAGCAACTAAGTAAAAATGAAATGATCTGAGAGTTTTAACTTAGAATTGTGCCCCTTTAAAGTCTTGGGTCAGAGGGAGCGGTGAGTGTGACTATAACTGAGATGAAGTCTAATGGCCTAGGTTTACTTCTAGTGAATGACTTAGAGTGAAAGCGGTTTCCAAAGGCTTTGGCAATCATGTGTTTTTGAAAGAAACTGTAAGTTCATATAGTCTGTTCCTCGTCTCTTTAGGGCAAACGGCTTGAAGCTGGAAGGTGTGAAGAAACTGTGGGGGAAGGAGGGCTATCTTCCCAGGAAGGAGAGCGCAGCGGGGCAGGAAGTGGAGGCCCCTCCCGGGGCCCCGGGGATCTCTGCCTCGGAGAACTTAGACCGCGTGGCAGCCAGAAGGACTCAAGCTCAGGCCCTCACCCAGTCTAAAGAAGAGAAGGAGAAGCAGCTGCTGGCGTCGTCGTTGTTTGTTGGGCTAGGATCAGAAAGTGCGATCAGTTTGGTAAGGAATTGGTGTCTCCCGTTTGCTCCCAGCTCCGGCTCTTCCTTCGGAAGTCCAGAGCGGCTTCCCGGCTCTTGCCTGGCGTCCTGTCCCAGCCTCGGAGCCCCCGTGACACCCGTTTACGTCCCCAGAGGAGAAACCCCGTCACTTGAGCCAGTTCTTCTCGAGCCTGGTCAGAGGCACCAGAGCCCTCGCTCTGCACGCACCCCCAGAAGACGTCTCCTCCATCGACCAAGCCGCGGCGGAGGCAGAGTCCTTGTCCCCGAGTAGTGGAGCCGCTGGTCTTGGCTGTGGCCGTGGGGCCAGCCCTGGGGAGCGGGTGCAGGGAGCTCTGGGTCGGGCACTGGGCCCTGAGCCTGACTTGCGCACCTCGGCTTCCAGCTTCCGTAGAGGCATCGCACGGACAGTTAGATGACTGTCTGCCCAGGAGAACTTTCAAGGGAGAAATTGCTGTCAGCTTGCTTTTATAGCGAGCTTGAAGTCGGGAACATGGACTTTTTTCTATGTAGATTAAGTGTGCCAAGTCCTTCCGGGCTGCTCTCCCACCCCGTGCCGTCATCCAGCTGTCCCCGAATAGTAAGAGAAGGAACAAGGGCCTTCACTCCATGGGTTCCTTAACTCGGAGGGGCCGTGTTGTAACTCACATGGCAGCACAGAGAGGCTGACGTGACAGTTAGCTTGGTCCCTCCCCCGGCCCGGTTTTTCTTCTGTCACTGGGGGCAGACAGGACTGGCACTACCTGGTGTCACGTGCCCCTCTTAGGTGACCCCTGCCTTCCCTGTTCCTGATGTTTCCTAAAGTTTAAGATTCTCAGAGACATAGATCAGACTGTATTGATGTATTCCTCTTTAACTAGCTTTTATTTTTAGGTCTGTGACCCACTGTGAATTAATTTTTTACATAGTTCATTGGAAGGGTCAAGGTTTATTTTTTCACCTTCACCTTTTTATTTCGCCATCATTTTAAAGGCATTTTGTCTGGCTATATAGCACTGTCCTATTTGTTTTCTCTAAGTGTTTTTTTGTTTGTTTTGGGTACCAGAGATCGAACCCAGGTCCTTGTGCTTGTAAGGCAGGCAGTGGAACCACTGAGCTAAATCCCTGGCCCTGTTTTCTGTGTTTTTTTATTTTTCTTTTTATTGAGTTTATTGGTACAATCTAGGTATACAATACAGTTACATTCATCATTGGGATCCTGTACCTTTACATAATAGGTCTTGATTCTCATTTTTTCTTGTCCCTGCCCTCCCTTCACCCCCTCCTCCCCCTCCCCATTTACAAACACTTTATTTCCATTTTTTTCAGTTTCTCATATTTTTTTTCCTCTCCCTTATTACCTTTCCCCCACCCTTCCCACTTTCCCTACACCTTTAGCCCTTTACTTCCTATTTCACATTATTAATTGTCTCATTAGGATCCTGTGTACTATTACAGTTTTTCACACCAAAGAAACTATTCAGTATTTCAGTTAAAGAAATCTCTGTATGAACATTAAAAGTAGGGAATCCTAAAATAAAACTAAAAAGGAAAGTAAAAGAGAAAAGGCAATGATGTAACATTAAAATAATCCTTAATTCTGGAGATGAAAATGGTCCCGTCACATATTTAAATTGCTTCTTGCTCTTGTAGTCTTATCTTATTCTTTTTTTTCATTATTTAGAGAATACTTTATTAGTTTCTGTAATCAAACCCACGTACATATGACCTTACATATTTAATACAG